TGCCTAGTTGTAACTAAGGTAGAATTAGCTTGTGACTTGATATTAAATTAGGTCTTGATATAACCTTCGACCTATATTATTTTTAGAATATTTAGAGTTGCTTTGTAATCTTGAGAATTTAATTATTGAATTTAATTAAATTCCATTTATATGCTTCCATTGAGGTAATTAGGCGTTGCTGTTGTTTTTATGCTTAATTTATAAATTTAGAACTTATTGTATGATTACATAATGGTATTTCATGAGTTAAAGTTATAATTTAATTTGCTTATATGCACATTATATATATATTTGACATGTCGTATGCCATTGTAGCTTGAAGACATATGACATGTATTGTGTATTTTTACATGACTTGCTTATACATGGTAGTTGATTAAGTGTATTGAGTATATGTAATATGCCTTGATACACAACTTGTTGATTTTAAGAAAGCTTACATGGACATTGGAATATGTTACGGCTAGGGCATGGCTTTAGTATGGGGGATGAGAGCTCCTCCTACAACATATAGTGCGCACTGGGTGGTTCCCTGAGAGCTAGTAACCCTAAAACACCAATATACGGTTTGATTCCGGGTTTAGTGCAGTATTACCTTGCAGGCTAGTAACTCGATATCAGCTTACTTGGTCATTGAGACCGTATGTTCTTATCTTTCCGCTACTACTTGATTTCGCATTCAATTCCAAGTTATTTAATATAGATTATTTATAACTTGTGATGTGGTGTTTGACATTTCAGTTAGGTGTAGTATACATGTGCTTAGTATACTTGCATGCCTTGTTTTTCAATACAAGTTAATAGTACTAAATTGTTATAACTTGTTGTTTCTGTATTTTAGATTTCAAGTTGTTAACTTTGATAATCTATGCCTTAATGCATTGTATTAGAAGTTCTAATGTTAGTTAAATTGCATTGAAATTGTAATTTGTGTTTTAATTGTTCAATATAGCCTAAGATGATTCTTTAGACTCATTTGGAACATAGACGTTAGGTGGCATGAACCGTTTCGGTTGTTTTCGCATTTTAGGTTCCAAGTTGAGAAATTTGAATACCTATGTCTTATTGTGTCATACTATGTGCTTCTATGTTGTTGAATTACATGAATGATGAGGCTTATGCTAGAAATACTCTAAGGTAGCTCAGGATGCTCCCTGAGTCTCATTTTGACATAGACGTTAGGTGGCATGAACCCCTTTAACATGTTTCACCTTAAGGTGATATTATTGTAAAATGCTAGGTTTATACTTGCTCATTTCTCACGAGTAGCTTTATGTTACCCACCCTAAAGTTATCAGGGACATTTTTTAGGTACGAAAACTTGGTTCGTGATATTCATCATTCCTTGAATGATTTGTAGTTTTTAAGTTTCCATTTCATGCAAATGTTAGCATGAAATGTCATTTTGTAATCTTATATGTCTAAACTTGTATCTTTGATTCCATATATGTAATGTGTACATAAGTACACCTTTTACGATGTATTTGACTTGTGTGAGATGAGGCCGGAGGCCAATGATATTTATAGTACATCTTATGTAATTCTTGATTTCATGAAATGTTATGAAAATCTTGAAAATTCATAAGTCATTGCTTCATTACTTTTGCATCGGGTGTGGGAATTCCGTTTTTATTTTTTCATAGAGTCTCATTAATCATATATGAAGTGTGAACAAGGGCCAAACAGTAATTTGACTCCATTTTCTATTTTTGGATTTCAAATTTTCCATTTCAAGTCCATTTTTCTCATATTTGGCCGTCAGGGGGTTGGATTTTGCATCGGTCCTTTTCGGGAGCCGCAGACTATTCCCGTGCGCTCAAAATCACTTATTACACTTGTGTGCATATTCGTTTCAACCAAGAAATGCATTTAGGGTCAAATGCATACTTGATGCAAAGTTGCATTTTTTTAGTTTTAAACCTTTTTTGATCTAGGGGCATTTTGGCCATTTCACAGTGTATTTTTTGCATTTTCTCTCACGTGGTTGGGTAGAAAATTTGATTTCGAGAGGGGTTTATTTTTTGTGTTTTTTCAGAAAAATTCGTTTGATAGCCCCTTTTTGCTCTCAGATGTGGACAGATTCTATAGCAGTTTTTTGCCATCTTGACCCTCTTCTGATCTAGGGGCATTTTGGGTATTTTACAGTGAGTTTTTTTTTCGTTTTCTTTCGTGAATTCGGATAGAAAACTTGATTTTAAGGGGAGTTTCTTCTTCGTGTTTTTTCAAAAAAATTTGTTTCAGACCTCGTTTCGGCTCTCACTTCTGGCTGAATCTTTTTTTTTTTTTTTTTTTTTCCCAGCATGTCATGGTGCTTGTCAAGATGCTCATGGGATGCTCGTGGGGTGCTCGTGGTGCCCCATCTTGACGTCGTAACGTCAATTTTTGTTTTCGCTCGTTCTCCTTCGTCCGAACTCCAAATCAGTGAATTTTTTTTGAACTTGACTTAATTTTCGCTGTCTTTCCAACGGCGTGTTCGGTTACACCCGGATCTTCCTGGATAATTACTAGTTTACCCTTTTAGCCTTTAATGCTCGTTTTTCTTCGTCATGCCGTTTCTCCTTCATTCGGATTTCGAATTATGCAATTCTTGAGTCCATCTTGATTAGTTTTTCATTGCCTTTCCAACGGTATGCTTGGTGGCACCCGAATCCATATTTTTAAAATTGACTATTTTGCCCTTATAGGCTTAATTGTTATTTTTTCAATCTTTTGCTTTCGCGTCAGTTCTCATTGAGTTCTATGACCTCCTGGAAGGTCATCAAAGTGTCTTAGAAGTGTGTTGTGCCTTGGGAGACCGTTGTCTTGTTTCTTACTTCTACATCTGGATCCGCTATCGGGTTAATTTTCGGTTCATCACAGAACGCACTGGCTTGAAAAACCAATGCTGTCACAAATACCCTCTTATCAGTAAAATGAAATAATATTAAAAAATTCATTCAATGTAAAATTATCATTTTAGACAATTTCCAAACTCACGCACAAAATTTAAGCAGCCGTGCGCCGTCAGCTTCTCACAGACGTAATCATCCCTTTGCTACTAGCCACCAGAACCATAGAAGACCAACTGCAACTCGTCTTCCCCATCAAACCCATCGCACCGCTGATCAGTTGCTTCATCTTTTTTGCTCATCGTTCAAGCATATCATCACAAGCTTGCAGTCATGCCGGTCAATCGCATAACTCCCCGATTGTTCCGACCTTACTCGTTGGTGTTGTTCCTCGCCGACGTTACGTTCACGCGTTGTCATCACTGTCGTGAGCCATTAATCATGAACTTGCCGTCGCCATGAACCAACCTCGTCGCTGCAGTCAGAGTTACACCGATGGACGTCACAATTTACACGCACCAACAACAAAGGCGCGTTAGATCGATCTACTCGCACCAACAGCAGGGGCACGTCACATTCACTCGTCGCCCTCAGTATCACTCACACTCATCTTCTCTGTAGCTCAACTCAGAGCTTCACACTGGAGTTTATTGTATTGATAAAACGGGTCTTAATTTTGTGTAGCTCGTCTGAGCCTCTGACTTACTTTCTTTCCGGTTGTTATCCACCATCAGAATCACTCCAGCGCCAACCTACGTTGGGACACCGGTATATATATATACCTATATATACATGATTGTTTCGTCGGAATTGTGACTCTTACAGTCACCACCATCGTCGTCAACCGTTTCAGTCCTCTACCACCTTCGGTAAGATCAGAGCACTGCCGTCCTGCCGTTCATCATGCATCGCTGTCGATCAGAATCCTTGCTCGCCAATGTCACGCATCGCCGAATATAGCTAGAGGGACTGTTGGGTTCAAACCTAGTTTCATATATATATATATTTTTTGGATAAATAGAAATGCAACTGTTAAAGACTTTGCAAGAGTTGTGGAGTCACAACAAATTGAATTGTAGCCATTGATGCAGCAGTAATTTCTCTGAGGAGTCCATCGTTAGTTTGGGGATGAAGAATGGGTATTGATTTTTGGGGGCAAGAAATGGAGATAAAGAGAGGGAAAAAGAGAGAGGTGGGTTTGATGACGAAAGTGATCATCCAAATTGAAACAGAAGAGGAGGATCGAGCTTGAAGTTCTTTTTTCTTTTTCTTTTCTTTTTTTTTTCATTGTATTAGGTGTGGGGGCGGTGGTGGTGGTTTTTGAGTGTGGCGACTATGGTGGTGGAGCTGCCACCATCAATTGTTGTGGTAGTGATGTGGTGGTCGGGAGCCCCTTAGAAAAGGGCATAATAGGAAGAAAAGGGTAAATTAGGGTTTTAAAATTTATATTATGTCAATTTTGACCAAAAAGTGGTCAGAAGTATTTATTTACACATTTTTTAAAAATTTTATGGACGAATGGACTATTTGTGCACAAAACTAATATTACATGGAAGTTTTCTACACTTAACTCATACAATATATATATATATATATATATATATATATAATTTAGGGTTCGGTACTAATGAAACTGGACCTAAAATTGAAATCGAATCGTACACTAATAATTCTTTATTTTTGAAACCGAAATCAAACCATACAGGAATCAAACTATCAGTTCGTACCCATTTACCGATTTCAACGAATTTTGTACCCTAAAATTTTATATTATCATTGAAATTAAACTGTATAAATGAAATTGTGAAAAAGTATCAAATTATGTAAAAATTGATTGTACATTAATCTAATAATTCATTTTTCAATTCGCAAGGCCGACCATGCATGTAGTAGTACTTATTATAAAAATATTCTGTCGACTAAGATCTAAAAAAATATCATAACAATTATCAAAACTTTCCAAATACACCTACATGTTTTGAAAAAGAATATAGTTAGGCTAAAAGTGAGGAAAGTTTAGGTTCAAATTTTCTGGTGTTTACCGAATTCTCCACTCTTCCATTCCCTATCGGAGTAAATGTGGTGCTCATTTTTCTTCCCTCAACATGTGCCGTGTTTACCTTCCATTCACATATAACTGACCCTCCAACACACACCTCCACCACCACCACCATGTTCGCCCTCCCAAAAATGCCGCCCACCGCCACCATTTTCTCCACCTACGCCTCCTTGGCCGCCTCCATAATGCTCGTCCGCTCCCTCACCACGGACCTTGTACCGGACCCCATCCGATCCTACATTCAATCCGCTCTCGTCTATTTCTTCACTCCACATTCAAATCAACTCACAATCGTCATAGATGAGAATTCGGGAATTTCCCGAAACCAAGTCTATGACGCTGCAGAAATCTATCTGCGTAACAAGGTCAGCCCATCAACAGAGCGTTTCAAAGTCGGTAAGACTTCGAGACAAAAGAATCTCAACGTGACTATTGAAAAAAATGAAGAAGTTGTTGACGAGTTCCAGAATTTCCAGCTCAAGTGGAAGTTTGTGGTGATAGAACCTAACAACATGTACAACGAAAAGCATTTTTTCGAGCTCGTTTTCCATAAAAAGTACAAAGAAAAGGTACTCAACGAGTACTTGCCTTTTGTTCTGTCCAAATCCAAGGAAATAAGAGATAATGACAGGGTCGTGAAGCTCTACACGAGAGATTGTCCTTATGATGATGATGATGGTGGCAGCGGGGTGTGGGGGTCGATCCACCTCGAGCATCCGTCCACGTTTGAGACGTTGGCGATGGATTCGGAGATGAAGATGGCGATAATTGATGATTTGGAGAGGTTTGTGAAGAGGAAGGAGTTTTATAAGAAGGTGGGGAAGGCTTGGAAGAGAGGGTACTTGTTGTATGGTCCTCCCGGGACCGGAAAATCGAGCTTGATTGCTGCCATGGCGAATTATCTCAAGTTTGATATATATGATTTGGAGCTTACAAGTTTGTACTCCAATTCTGAGCTGAGGAGGATACTGGTTTCCACGACCAACCGGTCTATAATTGTAATTGAAGACATAGATTGCAGTGTGGAGATGCAAGATAGAGAGCTCGGAAATGATGTTCCTAATACCAAGGTTAGTTGTTACATACATATATATATATATATATATATATATATATATATATATATATATATTCTTTCATCAATGTGAGCATATGTAGGGTTTGAGTTTAGTTGTTTTGCTCAAAATGGCTATAAAAACTCAAATACAACCCGTAGTTTATATATCTTTTTGAAGTATTTCTTTCTGTTGTGAATCATCATTTACGCTAAAAGTTTAAACTATTAGAGATGATGAACGTAGGTTTAAAATTTAAATCCATCAATATCCCTGGTCTTCTTTTGATTCAACACAAGCTTTCCCTTAATATTGTATTAACTAAAATCTACTCTAAAAAGCATAAAACCATGCTTGTAATTAGTTGGTCACCAAAGACACCCATTATATGAATTCCTAAACTTGTAGACACATACTTTTGTGTCCGTATCAAACCTGAAATCTTGCTACTAATGTTGCAGATGTTAGTACACCAACACCTTTTTCTTCAGTGCGTCCATAATTAAGCATATATATTCCCAATATCATTTTTTTTTTAAATAAAAATAATTATTACCCTCCTTTTAATTTTCTCTAACCACTCACTTTTATATGTTATTCCTGCAGTTGACATTATCTGGTCTGTTAAACTTCATAGATGGATTGTGGTCGAGTTGTGGAGATGAGCGAATCATCATTTTTACAACGAACCATAAGGACCGGCTCGACCCTGCCCTATTGCGCCCTGGTCGCATGGACATGCACATTCACATGTCATATTGTACTATTCAAGGATTTAAGCTCTTAGCCTCCAATTACCTTGGCATCAATGATCAACACAGGTTGTTTGGGGAGATAGAAAATCTAATAGAAAATGTAGAGGTCACTCCTGCTGAAGTTGCCGAGGAACTAATGAAAAGTGAGGACACTGATGCTGCTCTAGGTGGAGTTGTTACTTTCCTCAAGCATAAGCAGATTAAAGCCAATGAGATGAAGGAAAAAAATGGTGGATGTGAACTTCAGGAAGGGTCTGAAGGGAAGAGGCTAAGAAACAATAATGCTGAAAAAAAGCTGGAAGAAACTGTAGAAAAGGAAGGGTTAGAGAAAAATCTGAATTGATGATGACGAAGTGATCAAAATATTGAAAGATCGATAACAATGTATTATTGTGAATAAATTAAATTTTTACAATTAAAAGTTTATAGCTTGTTATTACTGTACCTATTGAAGACCGGCCTTTAATCAGCTGTCAATATGAATTACTTATTCACTTGTAAGTAGATAAGTCTTGTCCCTCCGATAAATAGTTAATATATTGATATTTTCATTAAGCGGAGTACCTATTTTGAAGGAATGTATTGTATTCTATCTGCTAGGAGCATCAGGCATCACATGATTTTAAGAATATAAATGGAATTAATACTTGCTTAAATATATGTTGGTCTAATTTTGTTGGATTAAAGTGCATCTTGTAGTTAGGTTTACTTAGAGTAAAAAATTTTTTTGTACCCGTTGCACCGTGCAACGTAATAGGCACATTCAGGATGTTTATGTAATATAAGCGCCAACATGTTTGTTGTATTGGTCGTATTAAACTGTTGGATATACATGTTGCATGGTGTAACAGGCGCAAGAAAGTTTTTCTCTATATTATATTGATGTAGGTAAATATGTATAAAAATAAAAATTACATTTCTTATTAAGAATTTAAAATAATTATTGTTGAAATGTTATATATATATATTTTTATATAAAATAATTATTACAAACATGCTTAGAGTTAATTAATAATAATATTTCATGCATAAATTTGAGAATTAATAGTAATATTTCATGGATAAATTTTAGACTTTTATCTTTTAATCGGTGTCGGAATAGTCAGCCTTTTCATTAAAAATTGAAACGGTTAAGAAGATGGTTCTATATGGAAGGCAGACCCAGTACGGCCACCGTGATTTGGGTCACAGAACAGTAGTAGGAAAGAGAGGAGAATCTTCTCTCCTATGTGATGGAACTTTCCTCCCCGTGGTGCTGCTCATTTTCTTCAATCCGTGTTGGTCCCACCGCCCCTGGTAGGTATATATCTTCTGAATGTAGATATATACACACAGATTAGACATAAATACACACAAGCATGAGTACATAAAAAAGAGAGGAGAGGCCCAGGGCAGGTCTAGTTGATTGCATTAAGACCCCAACATCTTTAAACTTGGTTTGATTATTTTCCATTTTTCGATGAATGAAGTTCTTGTTAATCTTTCGTTGAAATTCAATTCAACTCACTATCTATTAGATTCCCAAATCTCCTTCTTGTGGCTGGATTGAAGAGGTATGTTTAATGATTCTAGTAGTTAAGGGATGACTTGCTTTTTCGTTGACCCATAATTTTTATCAAATTACAAACATGCCCCTGCAAATGTATAATAGAAACACATTTGGGGATGTTAATGTAAATTTTGGGTTTCAATAATTGAGGAGAGAGATGATAGATTTCAATCATGGATCAACTTTAAATTGTGGTAGATGATGTTTATATTCTTACTCTTTTTTTTTTTCTTTTTTTTTTTGTTTTTGTTTTTGTTTTTTTTTTTTTACCTTTTTGTTCTTCATTTAACAGCTAGGCTTCAGATTCTTGGAGTTTCTGATTTTGGGGAGGGACATACAAAAAGGATCTCCATTGTTCTTTCTTGTCTCATTACTGGGCAAACATTTTGCTGATTTAACTTTGTGAGTGTACTCTCTATCCTATTCTGTTAATTGATGCAATTCTTTTGTTTATTTGACAGTTGTTTATCTTGATTTCATAGTGACTCCTCTTCAGAAACAGAATATATATGTATGTATATATATTTTGTGGGCTTTTGAATATGAACAATAGTAATACCTCCAAAGGGATGAATAATCCCTATGTATGTAGGAATAGCCATGTATACCCTCCAAAGTATTGATATAATTTGGCTACTAGTATTGAGGAGTTTTTAATTGACTGTATATAAGTCACTTATCCTGATATCTTATTCCCACTAGTGATACATTCAGATTAATTCAGATGTTCAAGAGATGTGATTCTCTGTTTTGTTTTTTTTTTTTTTTTGGAAGGTAGGTGTGATTCTCTGTTGTTTCTACATAAGTTTGGATATATAGTTGTTTATCTTGATTTCATAGTGACTGCTATTAAATAAAGAAAAGAAAAGAAAAGAATATATATGTATATGTATTATGTAAGCATAACTAGTGAAATTTTGTACAATTATTAGAATAAGATTTCTCTTTTTCATATAGGATTCATTGCAATGATAGCATTTGAGGGAACATCAATTTAAAAGAAAATTATATAAATGAAATAACGTTGGATGATAATTGACAATTAATTTCATTAGTGATGTTATCATGCTACTGATAATATGCATTATTATAGTACCACCAAAGGGTTCAATAATCCCTATGTGTATATATAGGAATAGCCATGTATACCCCCCACAGTATTGATATAATTTGGCTATAAGTAGTGAGGAGTTTTTAATTGATTGTGTATAAGTCACTTCTCCTGATACTTTATTCCCATTAGTTTGATACATTCAGATGTTCAAGACGTGTGATTTTCTTTTGTTTCTAAATTAGTTTGCAGAACATAGACATGGTGGATGCAGTTTTTTTTTTTTTCCTGGGCTTTTGATTATTAAAAATATTAATGCCACCAAAGGGTTGAATAATCCTTATGTATGTATGTAGGAATAGCCATGTATACCCTTCACAGTATTGATATAATTTGGCTAAGATATGAATAGGGTCGGCCACATGAATTCTCTTTGTCCAATCTTTTCTATTACATGCCAGTTTACAAGTCAACTGTCTTGATATTTTATTCTCATTTCTTTGATACATTCAGATGTTCAAGACACGTGATTTTCTTTTGTTTCTAAATAAGTTTGCAGAACATAATGGTGGATGCAGTTGTTACTGTGTTCCTGGAGAAACTGCTCAAAGCTCTTGCTGAGGAGAGTCGCGTATTGAGCGAATACAGGGACCAGTTCGAGAGATTGAAGGGTGAGCTGCTATTTATGCAAAGCTTCCTTCAAGATGCAGACAGGCTCAAGAGGAAATTCAAGATTCTTCGCGCGGTCTTGGTTGCTTTGCGAGATCTGATTTATGAAGCTGAAGATATACTGGCGGATTGCCAATCTCATTCGGAGGACGATGATGGTGGTGAAGCTTTCAAATGTTGTTCAATATGCTTCAGGCCTTCAAAACTTCCATTTCGATATCTAACCGGGAAACGCCTCAAAGAAATTAATGAGAAAATCACAAAGATCAAACAGGACATCATATCTTACGTTGGCCCGTTGCTTTCGACCACAACATACACAATGGAAGCACATGAGAACCGGATGGCCAGAGGGAGCTCCCCTTTGTACGACCACACCCAGGTGGTCGGGCTGGAAGGGGACAAACAGAAGATTAAAGGATGGTTGTTGGAAGCAAATGATGGTATTTTAGCAATCGGGGTTGTTGGTATGGGCGGATTGGGGAAGACAACTATAGTTCAGGAAGTTTTTAATGATAGGAGTATGGAGGATCGTCTTGAGAGGAGAATATGGGTGTCCGTTTCTCAAACATTCACTGAAGAATATATCTTGAGAAGCATATTAAGGAGCCTAGGAGATGCTAGTGTGGGAGATGATCAAACTGAGTTGTTGAAGAAAATCAACCAATACCTCTTAGGCAAGAGGTATTTGATTGTGATGGATGATGTGTGGGACACCAATAATTCTTGGTGGTCCAGAATCTATCAAGCATTGCCCAAAGGAAATGGAAGTAGCGTTATTGTCACCACGAGAAAGGAGAAAGTGGCTCGAATGATGGGAGTCACGGAAGCAAGAACTCATTGGCCCAAGTTCCTTGATGAAGATGATAGTTGGTTACTGTTTCGTAAGATTGCATTTGCACCGACCCAAGGCATTTGTAATCACCCCGAGCTAGTGAATGTTGGGAAGGATATTGTTCAAAAGTGTAAGGGTCTTCCATTAGCAATCAAAGCAGTTGGAGGAGTGATGCTCTGCAAAGATCCCTACTATCATGAATGGAAGAGAATTGCAGACCATTTCCGTGATGAATTGGCAGAAAACGATGACTCTGTGATGGCTTCACTGCAATTGAGCTATGATGAGCTCCCACCTTACCTGAAGTCATGCTTCCTCTGTCTCTCGCTTTATCCAGAGGATTGTGTCATATCAAAAGAGCAATTGATCCATTGGTGGATGGGAGTGGGTTTTGTCCCACTCAGAAGCAGTAGAATGTCAACTGAAGCTGGGGAAAATTGTTTCTCAGAGTTAACGAATCGATGCTTGATAGAAGTGGTTGATAAGGCTTATAGTGGAATGATCCACACTTGCAAAACCCATGACATGGTTCGTGACTTGGTGATCCAGATCGCGAAAGATGATGCATTTTCCATTCCATGTGATGCTAACTGTCGGCATTTGGGTATTAGAAGCGACATGAATGGAAAATACTTTATTGGCAATCAGAAGTTGCGAGCATTGCTGACAACCACCCGGAGTGGTGAAGTGAACAAGATTGCTTCAAACATTGCAAAGAACTTCTGTGAATGTCAGCACCTGCAGGTATTGGATCTTTCTAAATCAATCTTTGAAATGCCTCTCGCGGGTTTGCTAGATCAGATTGGATCCCTCCAACACCTAACTTATCTCAGCTTAAGCAACACCCATCCATTGCTCCAAGTACCACCATCCCTAGAGAAGCTTCATAAGCTTCAGATTTTGGATGTAAGTTACTGCCAAAATCTGAGGATGCTCCCTTCTTGTATTTTGACTTTTGAAAAACTCACTGTCGTAGACGTAAGCCATTGTGGTTCGCTGGAGTACTTGCCCAAAGGCTTAGGGAGGCTGTCAAATCTTCAGGAATTGCTGGGATTTAAGCCTGCTAGACCAAGCCAATTAGAGGGTTGTCGTATTGCTGAGCTGAGAATGTTGACTCAGCTCAGAAAACTTAGTTTACGACTAAGTCAAGGTGATGAGATTGGAGATGATGAGGTCAATGTGTTGGTAAACCTCCAACAACTGCAATTTTTGACAATTAGTTGCTTTGGGAGTAATGACAATGACCTCATACTGAAACTTGATAGACTGTCTCCTCCTCAACGACTCCACGAACTGTGCCTCAAATTTTATCCAGGAAAGGTAAGCCCAATCTGGCTCAACCCACTCTCACTTCCGTTTCTACGATATCTATCAATCTGCTCTGGGAATCTTGCAAAGATGAATGAGAGGTTTTGGGGGAACGGAAATACTGTTTGGAGAATCGAGGGCTTAATGTTAGAAGCTTTATCCGATTTGAGTGAGGAATGGTCTGTGGTGCAGCAAGCAATGCCATCCTTGAGAAGATTGAATATTAGTTGGTGTCCGGAGTTGGAGTCATTCCCGGTTGAAGGCATTGGGTTTAAAGGGGGTACGTGGAAGAAGGAAGAGAACAAGAACTAGATTTAATTTAACTATGGTATAAAGAAGATTTCATGTAATTTTATCTGTTTATAGTGTTTGTCTTGAATGTGTGGGTTCACTTGTCGCATATCAATCTTTAAACTTGTAGTCTTCATTTCATCAGTTTTTACAGATTTGTAAACTGGTAGTGTGTGAAAAAAGGTGATGGATTGTTTGTCATATATGTTGTCATTGAAGTTTATTACTCTGAAATATCAGTGCAGCTGTTTTTTTTTTTTTTTTTTTTTTTTAGCAGATTTGTATCAAGAATTTTATGTTACATTGATGTAGCCTATTCTGGATGGCACAATGTTGGTCCTTGATAATTAAGAATATTAGTAAGGGATGAACTGTATTCTAACCTAATGTTTGATACTATTGGCAAAAATGACTGCCTCAAACTCAAGCTTGATAATCCCAGTGTTATTATTTTGGCTAATCGATGTGTCCGGGCTTTGCCACGACTAATTTACGGGACTCGTGCAAGGTTTCCCTAACACGGATTGGTTAAAACTCGAACTATGTCTGCAGGCGTAATCCCCTAAAGAATTGTTTGCACTTATCAAGAATCAATCTTGAAACTTGATGATTCATGAGACACTAAGGCGCAAGTCTTTAACAATCCTAAAGTTTTTACTATAAATAGTTCATGTACTTTCTTGTGTATCAAAACTGGAGAAAATAGTGTTACATTTTCATGTTAAAGAGTATTCCTTTTTTGAAATAATGAGTATCAATCCTCAAATTAATAAATATCACATTTAAAAAATAATTAGTGTGCGCACTCGCAAAATGATACTTCAAGAAATAAATATTGCATTATTTTGACATATAGTGTAAATGTGTTTTCTTGTCGAGAAAAAGAAAAAACACACTTGTTTTCACTGGGCTTGGATTTTCCAGCCCAAGAGTCTTCGTTATAATAAGCCTCGAGAATCCTATACATGATTGCGAGCGTACTCGAGCAAAATGAGTCGCGAGATACTGAATCATTTTACCGGGAAAGAAGGAAGAGACGTTAGGAGGAGTTGGGTGAGCGGTATGGTTTGCACTCTCTCTTTCTCTCTCTCTCCATTTTGGGAACAGAGTGCTTTCTTTCTGTTCCCAAATGAATCAAAGCCCTAAATACCTCTATCTCTCCACCATTATAGATGTATTACACACACTTTCTTACTCCCTCTCTCTCTCACCTCTCCGCCTTTTTCTTAGGGCTTCATGTTCAGAGCAATATTCGGTAATTTATACTCCACTCCCTCCCTCACGCTCACATTTTCCAGAGGTAATTTCTCTGCTACAACTTTTTTTCTTCTTCATTACTTGTCAATTTTCTTCATGTAATTATCCAATTACAAAATACACACTACAAATTTTCATTGTATATAGTATAAATTTGAATTGTTGTGTGATAGAGACTGTTTTCTTGTTTGTGCATCTGTGTTGTCGCTTTGATTTTAACGTTTTAGATTGTGATAGATATACTGCAAATATATGTAATGTTGTCTGATTTTATGGCTCAATAATGGTGGGATTTGCAGGCATTTGGCTAGGGCTTGGTTTCTGGCATCTTTATTTGTGATTTGAGTGCTTGATTCTTCTACCTTGTTGCTGTCACTTCATTGATTAACTGATAATCTCCAAGTGACAACATGTCTGGACCCCTATCGCCTAAACCCGGTACATTTTTCACTTTTCTTTCTCTTAATTCATTAAGTTGAATCTGTTTCTTGATTCACTAAGTTGAATTTGTTTTAATTTGTGCTAACAATAAAAGTCATGGAGATTTATGCTTATTTTCAGAAACCACAAAGTTGAGGTAATTTTAAATTTTTATGAATTCTTTCGTCTAATATATTTATATTAGCAATATTTCTGCTGGAATTGGACATTAGTTATAAATTATTGGAGAAATAAATTGCCAAGAACCTCTCATTTCGACGGGCCTTGTTGGCCTTTGTAATCTTAATGCTTCAATAAGACACCAAATAGCAAGAGCAATGGCAGTTAATTATATTTAGGTTTTTCATGTTCATATTTTGATACATCATGTTTAGGGCTTAATTCCTTTTTTATCATTTCTTTACAGATCTTGATGTTGAAAATAATGAGGATGAGAGGAAGACTAGAATTGGGTCTTTCAAGAAAGCAGCAATTAGTGCCTCCACCAAGTTCAGACATTCTTTTGCCAAAAAAGGTAGGAGAAGTAGTAAAGTCATGTCCGCCGAAATCGAGGATGAGTATGATGCTGAGGAATTACAGGCCGTAGATGCCTTGCGCCAAGCACTTATATTGGATGAATTACTACCATCTAGGCACGATGATTATCATATGATGCTCAGGTCATTTCCTTTCCTTCTTTCATATCTTTTTTTAAATGAACACATGGTTTTAAATTTTGTACTTGGATACATTTAGTTCAAATCTATGATGGGGTTATCATTAGCAAATTTGCTAGAGAATAAGATGGAGAACATAGAATATGTATATGATATATACATATTAATCTATGGAGTAGCATTGTGGTGGAATCAGTGCAAAGAGAGGTAATAAATAACATACGTGGTATCTTTTATCTTGCTGATCTCAAATCCTGAAGAGACCCCAGAGAATCAAACAATCGATACCTTCCTTAATTTAACCTTGCCATTTTCTTCCAAAATCCTTCTCATCCATGTGATGAAGGAATCGGTAATGAACGTAATCATAAATTTACTGTGTTTGTAGTGTATGCTTGTGTAATTAAAAGGTACATAATATGGAAATTTCACAATTGCCACTACACTAAATTTTCCGAAGTTCAAATATCAAATTGTATAGCTTCATAGATATGTACAGAGGTAAACTTCACAAGATTAAAGCAAGTATGGGCACAATATAGTGCTTAAATTCTTGAATTTTATTGTCAGATTTACTTTAATTGATTTTTTAATCACCCATGAGAATATGGTTATATGTGGATATAAAGACGTCGAATGTTTGAGATTCTTGTTTAGCAATATGTTAGTAGTATTTTACTGTAAATGATTTGAGTACCTTTAGTATCACATGGAATATTTATGTCATAAAAAAGCAGTTGGAACATCACTGCTCTACTGTTTTTAACCTGGCGACATGAGCTTGTTAATTTACTCTTTGATTACACAGATTTCTGAAGGCCAGGAAATTTGATATTGAGAAAACAAAGCAAATGTGGGCCGATATGCTTAATTGGAGGAAGGAATTTGGGGCTGATACAATCATGGAGGTATTTAGTGGAGGAACTCTTAATGCTAGCCAAGATTATGCCTCTCTTCTGAATTTCATTGTCCTCCCTTCTGTTTTTTTTTTTTTTTAAAGGATTTTGAATTTAAGGAAGTCAATGAAGTCAAGGAACATTATCCCCAAGGACATCATGGAGTGGATAAGGAAGGCCATCCAGTTTACATTGAGAGACTGGGGAAAGTAGACGCCACAAAGCTGATGCAAGCCACAACAATGGACCGCTATGTAAAATACCATGTACAGGAGTTTGAGAGGACCTTTGCTGTCAAGTTCCCAGCTTGTTCAGTTGCAGCTAAAAAGCACATTGATCAAAGTACTACCATCCTGGATGTGCAAGGAGTGGTAAGAGGGAATAGCTAGTCTAATGTTAACTAAATTTGTTTTGTCCAAAAACATAATCTAATAAAATTAGATTAGATTAAACCCAAGTTTTATAACCAAAATAAAACTTCTCTATTTACTTACTTGAAATAGATATTACTTGTCATAGATCTTTGAAATAACGATAAGTATCTTTAAAAGTTTATATTATTCTGAGTTGGATGCAAAGTAGGCATATTGGTATTGTTAGTTGATTATTCTGAAAAAAGCAATTCGGATTAATACTTCAATTGGTGCCTTAGGGACTTAAAAATTTCAACAAAGCAGCAAGGGAACTTATCCAATGCCTTCAGAAGATTGATAATGACAATTATCCAGAGGTACTGATTTGTGTTTATCATTTTCCAATGTTATACTACCAGCATCTTGCTTTGCAGGGGCGGCTCAATATAATTTGAGGCCTTAGGCCAAAAAAATATAAAAGTGGCATTTTAATATCTAATATATAGTCAATCCAATTATCTTTCTTGTCACATAATCGATCTTAGAGTTATACAACTTATACTTAATGAAAAAGGATGGGAAATATGTAAGCAATAATAAGGAAAAAAGAACAAAGAAGATAAAGTTAAAATAAGATTATGGAAAGTTTTACAAATTCCGGTGGAAAAAGTTTACTAAACCCTCTGTTACCTCTGTTGAAAAATAGAGAGAGAGAGAGAGAGAGAAAAAAAAAAAAAAAAATCTTTTGGTCCCTATTAAATATCTATTTGTTAGGGTAGGAAATAAAAATTTTAGGAAGGATATAATATAAAGAAATAAAAAAATTTGAGGCCTAAGTCGCCTAAGGGTCCAGCCGCCCCTGTTGCTTTGTCTATGGTCTTGGAGTTTGATGATGTGCTTTTGTATGTCACATGCAAAATTTTCTTCATCGTAGACCTTGAATCGCATGCTCATCATCAACGCGGGTTCTGGATTTCGAATGTTGTGGAACACTGTTAAGTCTTTCCTTGATCCTAAAACTACAGCAAAGATCCATGTAAGACGTCACCTACCTCTGCTGGAACTGCTAGTTTCAATCAAGGAAATATAATTAATCAGTGAATGGAATTATTCAACAGGTTCTAAGTAACAAGTACCAGAGCAAGTTGCTTGAAATAATTGATGCAAGGTAAGCATCTTCTAGATTGATTCAAAGCCTGCACTTTTTCCCAATTTTCATTTTCTTGTCTTTTGCAATAATTCAAATTTATCCTCTTATATGAAATATGACGTCTTTTTATTTTTATTTTTATTTTATAAATAAACTTCCATTGTGTAATTTAAAGCTTTTCACTTTATCTATTTCACTTTATAGAACTGTTTATATATCCCCCTTTTTCTGGCTTTGTTCCAGTGAATTGCCAGAATTTTTAGGAGGTACCTGTACTTGTGCCGATCAAGGAGGCTGTATGCGTTCTGATAAGGGGCCGTGGAAGGACCCAGAAATTTTGAAGGTTCTCTAGTACTTTTTTGTTTTACTAACCTCTAAATGATATACAAGATTATTGACAATCTATAGTATTCAGTTTTCACTTTGACTTGCAATTTTATGGTGACAATAATTTTAGCAGATGGTGCAGAATGGTGAAGCCAAATGTAGTAGGATAGCCGGAAATCAAGCTACAGATGAGAAAACAATGTCTGAGGATGAAACAGAGAACCCAAAGGTATGATATGACCAAGTCTTTCAATACGTATCTCATTTTTCTTAATGTTTGTGAATATGCCCTTCTGTTGCTAGCAATTTTAATAGACTGCCCCTGTATTATTACTCAGTTAGCTTACTACTGTCTTTTGTTCAAGTTTTTCTTGTCACTGATGAATGAATTATCTTATGTTATATTTCTAGTTAATAAAATCAGGGATGTGACTTTTACAATCTGAAGTCATCTTCAGATGTAGATGACTTATTTAATATTATTAAATCATAATTTATGGGCTTATTACACTTTCTTTGTAAAAGTTCTTTTTGTCAGTGGTGAATTGCTTAGATTCCTTTGTATTTATAATTATTGTAATAGGGGTCTAACTCTTCCATTAAGGAGGCAGCATCAGATGTGGATCAGTTGCAATCTTCTTCTCTAAGACATCCAAGTAGCTATATACAGCATCCAAAATTCTCTCCTATTCATGAAGCAGTAAGTATTGTTTAAGTCTTTTACAAAAAATTGAAAAAAGATCATGTATAATCTTTTTATTCAAATAAAAAGATATCTGTTCTGTTGACCACCTCCTTATGCATTGCCCTGTGGCGAATGACTGTTGGAATCTTATTTTTGGGTTGTTTGGCATGTGTTGGGTAATGCCAAGATCTACTAAGGATTTGATTTATGTATGGAGAGGTTGTCGCGTGAGAAGGGATGTACGCGATTTCTGGAGAGTTATCCCACATTGTGTTTTGTGGTGTATTTAGAAGGAGAGAAATAGTAGAATGTTTGAAGATAAAGAGTTGTCTACGGCAATGGTGAAACATCACATTCTTTGCTCTCTATTCTCTTATGTGAAGAGGAGTTCTTGTTCTTCTTCTGATGATTTAATTATTTTTTTGGATTCCTTGGGGTCTTAGTCCCGGTTCTATTTCTGTAATAGGGACGCGTTCCCCTTTTGAGCGCCTTTTTTATATTATTATTACTTATAAAAAAAAAAAGATATCTGTTCAAGGATTTGAATATTAAAGTTACACCCTCTCTAATAGCTTGAGCTTTTAGAGTAGATGGTTCTTGACATGGTATCAGATCAGGCATGATCCTGTGTTCAAACCTCACCATCACCCTGATAATCAAAATTGAAACGTGCGTTGGACCAAAAAAGGCCACACATGAAGGGCCGTGTTGAAGGATTTAAATATCAAAGTTACACCCTCTCTAATAGTTTAAGCTTTTAGAGTAGATGGTTGTTAACAATGTCCATGTATAAATTGATAGCTAGCTGAAAAAAGAATTATATCAGGTAGGGCAGCTAGACTGCTGAGACAGTTTGGAGGCCTCTAGCATTATATGTCACAGAAGTGACGTCGGTTTTATTTATTATCATTGTTTTTTTACAGCCAAGCTGATTTTCTGGATCACCATGATGTGGAACTTGTGCCAACAGATTATAATGTTATTCCCTCATGATGTCCTTAGCCCAGTTTGTTTATTTATTCATATTTTGTTACTCTTGGTACTTGTAATGGGAAATCTAATGAAGTGATTGATTTCCATTCTCTTTCATCAATGTTCTTTATGCACCACTCACACACACTTCGCTATATATGGATTACAAAGTATAAGCTTACAATAGAAAGGCTATTTAAAAAGTGTTGGAGTACATCCAGCACATTAAACATCATTGGTTTCCTTAGTTTGCGTTTGATTCAATCTCTGTTGGATTTGTTTCTGTTTGCCCCTCATTTGTCATCACAAGAATGCATCTGACTTACTTCTTTTTCACATTTTTGTTTGAATAAAAAAATCACAGGTTTTTGTTAGCCAAAATTGCCATAAACCATGCGGGTATGAAGTCCCAATGGTTGATAAGACTGTTGAAACATCTCAGGCAAAAATGGTAAATAATGACAGATTTACCTTCTCCAAAGGTACATTGCCTGGTTTTTTGGTTGAATGCATTTGCAATCTTTATTTTAATGCTTTCCAGTGGCTATGACATAAAATTTGGGAAGTGCATAAGTCACTACGTAAAATTTTGCAAAATTCACCATCAGGGAAGAAAGTTTTTACTTTGTATAATTTATATAACAAAGTATGCGCTCTATATTTGGAGAAAAAAGATAGAAGAACACACACATACACGCGCACACAAACACAATACGTGGGCTCAGAACTAACTGGCACTAGTTCGGGACATTGTAATGTTTCCTGGGTCTCAATCTTGTCTTGAGGTGGTCGGTTCAGATGTGCCTCAATTTAGTTTGGTTATTTACATTGCTATGACCCTTTTGTTATGTGTACTTGTCATTTAATGCTTAAAGAGCATAGTTGAACAGTGTAATGGATAAATATGTTGACCATGTTAGCCTGAATTTGCAATTTAAGAATTGAATCAAGAGATACGTTGTGTGTCAATTATGTCAGAATCCATCATTCAGTGTGTCCCACTTGTAATTTCTAGGACTGGAAGATGACTAGTCTAATATGTTGCAACTGCAACTTTTCTCGCATGGTACCTCATTGATGTCAGACAAAATTTTCTTCTTTTTTGAGAAAGTGATGTCATAGCATACATACATACATATGAGCCAAAATGTTTGGTAAAGATCTACTAAAATCCCTTGATTAATGTACAATCAGCATCATTATCATCATGGTCATCGTCATCATCCTTGCCTGGATGCCAACCGAATTGGGTCAGCCATATAAAATATTTTCGCCCTTGCTCTTTATATGACTAGCTATATATCCTATTATTTTTAATTTCCAAAAGACTGTTCTTTATTGTTTTGTCGCATGTTAGTTTTGATATATATCTTTCTCTCTTACCTTTTATTTTAACTAGTTTTGCTCTTTATATCGGTCTATATTGTACATGTATATACCATCAAAGACTACTTTCTTCTAACTTCTTTTTAATAGGCCTAATTTATCTATTATATATTGATTAATATTCATGTCTCTTTTTTGTATAGCTATCATTGATATCAACATTTTCACTTATGGATTGATTATTTTGTATTTTTTTAAACATCTAAATTCTACTCCTAATACTGTAGCATTTCCTTTTTAACCTTTTTTATATGTCTAACTTGTCTCAATTTTGTCCAATCTGATTCCAATTCTACTTATTACATGATTTCTCTCTTCAATATTGAAAGTGGTTATTTTGAGTAATAATTAAGTCTTTAGTTGTTACTATTATATTGTCATTTCCTCTATCTTTAGTGAATTTACCATCTATATATTATACTTTAGTTTTATTAATTTTTGAACATTTTTATTTATTTAGATTTCCATTCGCATTTCCCTTTCTACTATTGGTTCTCTTAGAAGTGTCTATGTCATCAACAAAAACAATTTTAATCATGATTCTAGATGTAAACATAAATTATTATTTTTTCTAAATTAGGTGTAAACATAATATATATAGGCAATCTCAAATAGTTGGATAAGTCTTTGTGAGTTGCTTAAAGTATATTTACTAGACTTGAGATGAAATTGACAATATCCAAGATACCAAAGCTAACGAATGTCTCTGTGAATTTTATCTGAATGAACTCAGATGATCTTTACCATTAAAAAATATTACACGGTTAAAACTGGAGTGAAAAATGCGAAATCTGATAGAGCAGCAAGACCTGTAAAACACAGAATTGTTAAACTCCCTCTACATGTCCCTGTGCCTGTTAGTTCCTCCCCGCATTAAGCATAAAATGTCTTGCTCTTCCTCCCTGTTTCTCTAACGCATTATGTTATGCCCGCCTGGTTTTAAGTTCTTTCCACTCTAGGCATATGTGCAACTCCTTTCTTAATTCCTGTTTGAAGTCCACTCCTTCTCAATAATCTTTTACTTTAAACCATATTACTGTCTGATGAACATGAACTTTTCTTATTCTGAATAAAAATTGAAAACACAGTCTACAGAGAAGAAGAATGAAACCACCATTTTCATCTGTATTTGAGTCCATTGATTATTGTAATTTTTTTCCCCAGCAAATTCTGCTGGGGTCTGTTCCAGATATTTTCTTTTAATTTAAAGCACCAACCATTTAGTTAAAAGCACATACTTATGCCCAACCTTTTTAGTACATATTGACTTTTCTGTTGTATAGCAGCAGATTGTTTCTCAATGCATGATCCTTGCAAGGCTCCTGAAGGGTTTTGCAATCAGAGCTCCACTGGTTTCATGTCCTTTGTTATGGGTGTTGTCACCATGATCAGACTGGCCCGCGACATGCCCAAGAGGCTCACCAATGCCACTCTTTATTCCAGCCCCATGTACTGTGATGATACAATGATGAAAGGACAGGCGCACCCACACCAGTTACGAGCACCTACCATCTGTGGTGCAGGGGAGTACTTGTCTGTCGTGAGACGCATGGTTGAATTGGAAGAGAAAATGACCATTCTCAGTGCAAAACCTGTAGCCATGCCCCCTGAGAAGGAGGAAATGCTGAATGCTGCTTTAAGCCGGGTTGATGCCTTGGAGCAAGAGCTCATGGCGACCAAGAAGGTTTCTTGTTTTACTTGATTTCCTTTTGTTCTTTTTATCGTCCGGGATGCACTACTAAGTTCTTAACATTCTGTCACTTTTAGTTTGGGCTCCATAGGAGTTGCTGAATTACCTGATGGTTTCCTTATTTTCGTGTTTGTCTCATAAGATTTCGTTTAGTTGGAACAGAACAATGGAGAGGTAGCTTAGAGCTAGATGATTATATTAATAATATATTTTGTTGTCCTCACACTGGGGAGAAGTCAATCTGCCCAATTTTTCTAAAAGGAAAAAGTTCTTAATAAATACAAAATAAAAGTGCTAGATTACTTTGTGAAATTTTCTATAGGTTGGTCACTTTTGCTGACCTCATATACTGTATAAAATATATTGTAATGTGAAGGCTATAAAACAGTAAGATGTTTATTTTGAAAACCAAAGCACTGTATTAGAATTAGTTCTGACTTGTTACTGCCATTGTTTATGCAGACTTTGGGGGATGTTCTCGTCCGGCAAGATGAGCTCATGGCCTATATTGATAAAAAGAAGAAGAAGAAATTGGGATTATCTAAAACCGTAACACGTTCAACTTGTTTTTTCCATCTGCATTTGCATGCATCTCACTGAGGCTGTCTCATCTTTTCGTTTTTTGTTTTTTGTTTTTGTAATGCAGAATCTATTCGGCTGGTGAAGGGAATAATGGATGCTTAGGGATGCTGGGAAAACCGGTAGTGTGGTGCTGTTCTGTTTTCCAAGACCGCCCAAATGCTATCTGTTTTCCAAGGTTTTGGTTGAGTGTACAATGCAGTTAGAATAGATATTGAGTCATAATCTTTAACAAGATTTTCAAAATCAATATCCATTGCCCTTATGGTTTGATTGTAGAAGGGTGACCAAAGTGTGATACATTATATATCACTTAGGCAGTTGGTTAGTAGTACTAGGTGATGATTGGCTCTGTTGCAAGGACAAGGTGACCCTGGAAATGTAAAATATTAGCAAAAACAGCACCCAAAATGAGACGGTAACGAAGTGAAATTCAGCCGTTCCATGGTTCTTGGGTCCTGATTACAGAAACAAATTGTAATTTTGATTCTTCTCATAATCAAAATGTATGTTTGATTTGTTTACTCTAGTTTCTCTTGTGCATTTACCAGTTTATTTTTGTCTCCCCAAAGCCATTTTTAACTGCCATTTTTAATAGTTGCCCTTTATTGCCGGTTTTTTCTAGTTCAAGATTGTGTTGTGTTTGTGAGGATTCATGAGCTATAAACTGAAGAAGAAAAGGAGCAACTACATACAGGCTCGTTTGGCATAATAACCTTTACTTATGCTTCTACACAAAAAAAAAAAAAAAAAAAAAAGAACAAAAAGAACAAAAAGAAAGAAACGAAGAGCATAAATTATCACTTTCATTTTACTAATGTGTTAGTATTTTGAACTGTATTCTCAAAGAGCTCCTAATATAAACGTTGGGCAACGATTTGTTTTTAGGATATGGTTAGTATTCTTTTTCACTCTCAAATATGAAGGGCACGCTTGGTATGTTGAAAGTTTTGAGACAACCTTTAAAATATATATATATATATATATATATATATATATATATATGGCATTTTGGAGAAGCGCAGCCCTTAATTTCTTTTTTTTTTGTTTCTTTGATTCTTAGTTGGTACTTACACACGTGTCTGCACTGATATTCGAACCCCTGACTTCCCCTTGGAAAGTAGGAGCCTGATACCGCTAGGTCACTGTCCTTAAAAAAAAAAAAACTAACAACCAAAAGGAGCATTTGAAAAATAATAAGCATCCAAGTCCTTGAAAACCCTCCATCACAGGAAAAAGAATTCAAAATACATATAACATTAATTTTAAGCATGGAAAATAAAGCATATAATAAGGGCAATGCATGAGGTGGGTGTCCTTTTATCCCTAGTCAGATTAGCAGTCTTAAAGACTCATATCAACTGAACTGGAAGCAACACAGCTTTTAATGGATTAAATGGTGCTCTATTTTAGAAACATTTTAGAGAATGACCAATTTGATCCACTAAAACACGAAAAATCTTCATACTGTTTACAAACGATCTTTTACCATTTTTGTAGCAGCATACTGGTCTCATTACTGAGGAGGTCAGGGGGATGGCTTCATATATATATATACACTTCAGTTGTAAGCAGATATATATGACGTAAATGATAGGGGTGCTAGGCATAACCCTCTACTTCTGAGGTCGTCTTGTTTCAATTCTTCCTCTCCATCCTCCATGTTTGGAGTCTGTCACATAGTGAACAATAAGAAGTACTGAGAAGTACAATATTTGATTATTGAACTTATAATAAATGAGTAAATAAATTTTTTACTATGAATTGGTTGTTCAAATTATGAATCAAAAGTACGAGAGTCTGCAATTTATTCGAATTAATTGTTTCATGTCAAATAAAATTTTTAAAAGATGAAAACTGATAAAAAATAATTATAAATGTATTAACTAAGTAGAAATATTATCAATTTAATATATATGTAGATTTTTATACTTATTAGTTTGATTACAAAATTAATGAAAAATTAATATAACATTAAACAACACATGTACATACCATGTTAGACAAAGACTAGCTTGCATTAAATACTTAGAAAATAAATTTTCTTACCCCTTGAATCGTTCTACAATGGCTGTTGGAAGATGACTTCATATATGGCACTGTCAGTTTCTGCATGAAATTAAATTGAAGATCAGAGTTATATATATATATATATATATATATATATATATATATACGCACACACACACACACACTCAAGGGTTCTAACCTTATGCATGTCTTATTAATTTCACTCATTTAATTAATGTTTTATATAAAAAAATAAAAATAAAAATAAAAATAAAAAAATATCAAGAGAAAATAGAGTTTTTGAGACTACCTGAATCTGGTTCTGAAGGAATTGTATGTATCCAATAGCTTCCGTTAGTACGGACGCTGTATCAGTCTGCATGTTCCACGTTACAAAAGTAATTTACCATGAGCTGCTTGGCATGGCCAAACAAATAAAATATTTCTCTTTCTCTCTCCTCTTTCTCTCTCTCACACACACACACAGTTAGTGGGTTGTGAGAGTACCTTGCCGAAAGGTGCCACCAATCTGTGAAGAGCTGCAACCCTGTCTCCTAATTTCTCTTTTCTTACCTAATTTAGTGTCACAGTATAAAATTATTTTTATATATAAAAAACAAAATTAATTTGGTAGCTATTTAGTTCAAAATTAACACCTTAAAAGGTGGACATGGAGAGTGTGACGTGAGTCTAGACTTCTTAGCTGCTTCGTGAGATGGCTTTGGTTCGGAAGATGAGCTACCCATTACTCTCTTTGTTCTTCTAACTTCCTTCTTAGAGGCTGCAGATGATGCCTTATACCGAAAGACTAAAGTTTAGTTGATATATATATATATATATATATATATATATATATATATATAAATGGAAGTTCTATCAAAGTTAGTATTAAGATTCCACATATAGAAATGTAGAAACATAAAGTTAAATATTAAGCATATATTACAAACTCTTGCATGCAATTTGTTCCTTCTCCCCATTTATAATATGATGCTTATATCAAAAATATGTACACACCTTTCAGATATATATATATATATGTGTGTGTGTGTGTGTGTGTGTGTACAGGTTCATTACATATATAATATCAACATACAAATTTATATATAATATATATCTACATACATTCATCTTAATTCCATATGAGAATGGATGGAATCAATCACATACATAATATCAACATGCATGTGTAATATACATGCCTATATATTAAGTTAAATGTATGACAATAAGGATGAAATTCAATACATACATGCACAAATTTAGTAAGAATGCATAGTTTTTCTATTTATTTTATTTTTCTCTCTCTTTTTTGGTAAGTACCAACTATATATATATCACGCAAGTATTTCAAAATTTACTTCAATTAATAGTCAATACCACTTGCATGTATGCTTTTTTATGCTAAATTAAACAGTGAATAAGTAATATTTCAAACAATATGTCAAGACCCTTTTCTTTCCCCTCATAAATTTAACTTTAAAGCATACTAATAACAGCACAATTATGATACAATTTACTATATAACAACTAATATTATCACACACACACACACACACACACAATATGATTGTCAACTAATATAGCACTAGCTAATAAGAGATTTGGAGAAGAAAATATGAGAAAGTACCCACTTTGTTTGAGCTACTTGATGGAGTATCACTTGATTCTTCCACATGAACTTGGCCCAAAGAAACATCTTCTCCAAGAAAACCAAAACTATCATATGAAGACTGGCTGCAACTCCCGCCATTACTATTATTTGTAGAGGTCAAGAGATCCAAAGCCAAGTTCAGACCTAGAGAACTTGAACCTCTTGAAGAAGAAAAATCCAAATTTGAAATACTTGTAGTACTTGGATCATGCCCAAAGTTATAAGTAGTCCTAGGTGGAGCTAAACCACTCAACATACCGCAACTTTCACCATATGAGAACGGCTCGATGATTGGAGAAGTCTCACCAAGATCAAGTACATATAGTTGGTCATGTTTATGAATCATGTCACTAAATTTGGGGAGACATTCTGATGTTTCTTCCCTCGTCGTCATCATTCCGAATTGCAATGTATTGGCTGCAGATTGGTCAGCAAAGCTTCTCTTATCATAAAAACCAGTGCTTTGAATGGTAGAATTTGCATTCTTTGGCCTTGAGTAGTCCCTTGATGAGTTTGGGAGGATTTCATTCATGTATGTGCTATAGTCACTCACATTTCTGCATCATACCATAGAAGATAAGCTATAATTAGTACAATTATAAGTGTGACATTTGAAATGAAGGTGTTATTATGCATTTCTTTTTTAGTACATATTTTGAGTGGTGTAAAATACTGCTAAAACAGTAACAAAAGAACAACGTGCTTCGGCAAAGTGCCTATATGTGAAGAGCACTAGAAGCTCGCTTTTTACTTTATTATTGAAATTTTTTTTGTCTCTAATTTTTTTCATACACAATATAATGGTGGGGATCATGTATACAGGAGAATAAATGATGCGAATAGAAGGAGATCGATAAGAGAAGGAAAAAAGAGAATAGGAACAGGAGGATTTTCTTTCACTGATTCCTCCCTCCTCCCGTAAATCCTCAATAAATGGAAAAGAAACGGCTATCCTATGTTAAATACAAGTAATAGTCATGTTCTTGAGGTACTTTTGAACCTAATAACAAAATAAACCTAAATCATTGGAGTAAAATTTAAATTATATATGGTTAAACAGTTGAGAAAAGAATTAAAAAAAAAAAAAAAAAGTGGTAGGTTGGAAGAATGATTATACTTACGGTATGATGCTTGGACTCCAATCATTGAAGGTTGATACTCCACAGCCAGATTGGGTTGCTAAAGAAGAACACAACCCAACAATTTGTGGCTGGAGCTGATGATGTTGATGAAGATTTTCAGACTCCATAATGATTTTTTGTTTAGGACTTGAAGAAGATCCCAAAATAGAAATATTATTGACTCTTGCCAAACTTTCTATTCAAAAGAAACAAGTGAGAAGGTTTATAATACAGTCTCTCTTGTTTCTTTTATTGTACTCTTATTTCAAGCCTCTCAGCTTAAAGTATAGTTTTCAAAAGTTGGAATTGAAATGTTATACTATATGGTAGTATAATGATATTCTCTCTCTCTATATAGATTTCTCTCTTTCTCTCTCTATAAAAGTGGTACTAGAGAATAATCATGGCTACTATTCTGTCTCACCCCACATGTTCAGGTGCATTTTTATCACATAGCATATTGTCGGTATCCATGGTGTGACATTATGGAAAGTAGACTCGACATAAAAAGGTTGCATCTATGTGCTCTGCACCATATAGCCACATCTCAAACTTTAATCAGGTTCATGTATTTTTATTATTTTATTATTTTTATTTTTATTTTTCTATGAAAAATCAAGGCCATGTACTTTTTAACCTAGTTTAGGACCCAACACTACTTTATTGTACCGGTGAAATGAGCTACCTTTGGCTATAACTAGACCTTGCGGCAGCGTGATGTCATATCATATGATATCATTGGTTGAGTTCTTTTTATTTTTTACTTTTTTTACTGTATATTCTAAAATTTAATTTTCTTTAACCTCTCTCATTTTTGTGTTATTAATAGTTGTGTGATTAAAACATGTAGTTGGGTGTCATTGTATTTTACTCTGTAATCTACCATTAGACTGATATTTTCTATTATAGTACGATGCGTCGATGACGCTCTACTGCATAGGACAAATTTTAATTTATAAACATATGAACACTCATATGAAAAATCTAAAATCTATTTACAATGTTACTATACACAACAAAAAAATAACAATAAGTTTGATGATCGACACAAGGTTAATATTGATAATAATTGATTAATTAATTGTAACTTACTGAATCCAAATGATTGTAACACACCACAATTGATTGGGCACCAAAAGTGTTATAAAAAACTTTCAAGAAAGAGAGAGAGAGAGAGAGTGTGTGTGTGTGTGAGAGAGAGAGAGAGAGAGTTGTGGTGAATGGTGATTAGTACATGCAGTAGCGCAAAACTGAAAATTAAATTGACAGAAAGTAAGATTAAGTTGTCAATTATCAAGTTATGTAATTATGAGATGTTAGTTAAAATAATCTGTAATTATGAGATATTAATTATCCCCACAAGGTTGGTCAGACAGGAAAAAGAGTAAAAGTGATGGGATCCATAATGTGTGACAGAGTTTATGGGCAATTTTGTCCTCTCCCTCTTGGCATTTCCTTCACTGTACCTGCCTTCCATTAATTAGTTCCAGGTTCCAACCACCCTTAATTCACTCTCATTTTTCCATTTATTTGGGCAACATTTAATTTAATAAAGCTTGGCCTTAACTAGTTAATTGTATAACAAAACATCCTGGACTCTATCAAATTAACTTCATTAAGTCATCTCAAGTTTTAGTTTTCTAATTGCAATCTTTATATTACTATATATGGCCTATGGGGATGTATTAAAAAAATATATATTATTTTGGGAGGGCAAATTATATTAACACTACAAGAAAATTAGCTTTTTTACCACGCACTTTTTATCACGATTCCGTATGAACCGTGGTAGAAGACCCTTTCTATCACGGTATTAAAATAACCATGGTAGAAAGTTTTTTTGTTTTATTTTGGTTAAGTAAAGATATAAGGTATAGATCATGTACTTCTTTGAAATTTGTATATGGTTAATTTTATTTTATTTTATTATTTATTTATTTATTTGTATAAAATCATGATTTGGAATTGGTTATATATTTGATGTTATTGATCAGTTGTAAGTTATTTTGGTTATGATACTATTTTTGATTTATTTAGGATTTGCTTCTGTTTGATCTTTACAAAGCTATATTGTAGTTGTAGTAGTAGTAGGATAAAAAAAATAAAAAAGCCCTCCTTAATTAGATAGGGGCTACACTATTTTAAAAAAAAAAAAAAAAAAAAAAAAAAAAAAAAAAAAAAAATCTAAGGACTTTTTTACCATGATTTTTTTTCCGTGGTAGAGAGTTTTTAATATATCACGAATATATCATGGTCTAGAACCGTGGTAAAAAGGTTTTTATCTACCACGGTCCAACACCGTGGTAGAAGGTTTTTTTTCTACCATGGTCCAACATAGTGGTAGAAAATTGGCAATTTACTACCATGGCCGTTACCACCACACTTCAAAACTGTGGTGTAAAGCGTTGTCCACTGTGATAAAAAAACTATTGTCCTTGTAATAGAACGAGTTGTCAATGATTATAGAGACTTTTTGGATTAACGAAGTCAATTGGACTGGCTAAAACATTTTTGGGGACATTTTCAATGAACCTATTCTCGATCGGATTCGGGCTAACTCGTAAAAAGTAGAAGTCTTGATGCTTAGGATGTCGTATTTTAGCTAAATTTCATTGTTTATGCTTTGAAATAGCATTTTCAAGATAGTTGAATATCTCAAAAAATTTGGTAACAATTCCTCGGATTTTAGGTTTTAGTAGTTTTTAGTGTTAGGTTTTTTTTTCTATTTTTTTAATTTCTTAAGATATTTAAATATATTTTTAGCATTTTAACTTTTCTTTTTGCTGTTAAGATTTCTTTATTATAAATACATATACTCGTTAATAATATATTAGAATTTTATGCAACCTATGTTCCACTTTTACTTTGAGAATTCAATCAATTTAGTTTTGGCTTCGTCAAATACACAAACCCACATATTCTTTTTTAGGAATTTGTATCCCGACATTACAATTTGAATGGTGAAAAAATATTGCTAAGTTATAAATGTGGTTAAATAATTGTATCAAACTTTGCTACGACTTATATCTTTCATTTCATTTTATTTTATTTTTATTGCAAGCAATATCTTAGTTTAAAATATGGGTCTGTGTGATTGAGTTTATAAATGTGTGTGTGGGGATAACAATTAGCAAAACCATCCCATCATGGCAACACCTTTAGCCATTTTGAAATTCCAAAATAGAAAAACAGGTCCCTAGTCTCTCTAATCCACTTGCATAACTAGCCACAAATTTGGAATCTTAGTTGTATACGCATTATGCTTCGACCCCATTAAAATAATATTACGTATATTTATAAACCATAACATATATAAGTCCACTTGATAATAATTCGTTTTGCTATCATTATCTGGGGACCACTTTTTCGCTATATATATAGCTAGTCAACCATGGTCAAAAATTTGGTTTTGTTATAGTAGTGTAATTCAACCTCACTTTATCATGAAAAAAATCAAATATATATAGAGTACGATATTGATTAACTCAAATGTTTACATAAGAATGAAAAATAAGTTTGTACTAAGTGTGAACTTTAACATTTTTCGTTTAAGAGGTGTCTCACATTACATTTGAATGGGTAGTTAAATGAATATAAATAAGTATATAACATTATTCGTTACAATACTATAATAATAGTTTAAATTTTTGGGTCAGCAGGTAAGCGTCCATTCGTTACCGTTAGTATCAGAATTAAATTCAATTCTTAATCCAGTGTCACGTCAAATGCTCGAGCCAAAAGTATCCAGGTGACCACCTTAATGGGGTAGGTAGGATAGTTTGATCGCAACGAAAACATTGCGAATTCAGGTAGAGGAGAATGTTGGAGGTGTCCCATATCAGATCCTAATTATAGGAAGTGAAATAGGTACAAATTAGTCGGTATACAACACTACTCAATACCCGTTATACCCTGCCTCTATAAAGACTTGAACACCGGCCAGATTGAAAATGAGGACCTGTACCAACTAATTTATTGCTCATTTGAAAATTAAAACTTTGTATTTGAGTTCGATTACACGCACTAGCTATGAAATTATAGGCATCCAAAGCAATACTTAGGCTTATAATTAAATATTCATTAATTAGCTTTAATTTTTGGTATAAATCTAAATGATTAATGTAAAGTGATTCCATCACATGATGTAGAGGAAACAAAGCTTCGTGGGAAAGCCCTGAAAATGAGGTGTAAAGTTGGTGGGATTAAAGGTGCTTACGAAAAAGACAAGGCCTTAGAGCTTATCAGTATGGGCTAATCTTTAATAAGCTTGGGGAGAGAAAATAATACAACTATATATGGATAATATTGCTTTCCATGCCAATATATATATATATATACATACATACATACATACAAACACTATCTTTGTCTATAATGTTTGTTTATCTACCAAGTCTACAATGGAGCCAAAGCCTTTGTATCATTGCCTATTTAGAAACGTGGAATCAAGCTTTGCTCTTATTCTGTGTGTGTGTGTGTGTGTGTGTGTGTGTGAGAGAGAGAGAGAGAGAGAGAGAGCGAGACTTCAGTAAGTTGAAAATGAAGTCATAATCTGAGATGTCTAAAACGATTCATGTGTTAAAAAAAATCCCAATTTTTAAATACTTTTTACTATTTTTATCGAAAAGTGCTTCGGTTGACATTATAGTGTTGTTGAGTCAATTGCATGTGTTGTGTTCTTAAAAAAATAAAAAATAAAAAAAAATAAAAATAAAAATAAACAGAAAGAAATATGGGAAAACATTTGAAGTCATGCATATAATAAATAAAAGTTGTGTTTCTTTTAGGGATAACATGTGCATGGATTTTGAAATGCTGGTATGAATATAACAAAACACTCTTCATTTTAAATTGATGTCAAAAATATATTCTTTACTAGTTTAAAAAATGACCTAATTCAGTGCCCTCTGAACAAAAAGTAATACCAAGTGCACAAAAAAATAATACCTCTGTAATACGAGGCTCTTTATATATAAGTAGGGATGGTCACGAATCGGATCGGATTAGGGATCAATTCTAATCCGATTCACTCTCAATGGATTAAAAAAAATTTAATTTGCCACCAATCCGTTATTTCACGGATTAAGTTTTATCTAAATTATCCATTATTATTATTATTTTATTTTTATAAATAATGTTATTTATTATTTATTTATCTTTTAACCCTAACCCAATAAATAAAATTTAATTTATTAATATTAATTCATATATTTAAATAATTATTAACTAATAGATCTTTAGAGTACATTTCATTATCATTAACTAATTAAATTAACTAATATATTCTTTAAAAATGTATATATAAATTTCAGGGATTGGATCGAATCGAACTCACGGATTGGATTGGATTTTTAATAGTCCAATCCGTGAGCTACGGATTTGATATTTTTTTTAAGTTGCCACTGATTTGTGGGTGTAGCAATCCAATCCGATCCACACAAATCGGATTCACGGATTCATGGATTATTTACTCACACATATATATAAGGGGTTTGGGCCCTTTAAGGCCTTATTTATTTTTTTATTTTTTTTTGATGTCCTAAATTTAAGGCTCTTTCAAATTGGAGGTCCTAGGCGACCGCTTGGGCTGCCTACCCTAAGGGCCAGCCCTGTGCGTTTGCACACACATATGCCACTTTTTGTGCATGCACTAGTGAGCTAAGTCATTTTTCAAAATAATAATAAAAAAATAGTTTGGACATTAGCTTAAAATGAACATTATTTTTCTATATATCTACACCAACATTATGGTCAAATCTATTATTTCGAAACTACGTGATTTTGACCCTATAAAATAATAAATAAAGATCCAGAAGTAACATATTACGTAACCACCTCTTTTTTTAATCGTGACAAATAACTTTCAAAATAATTTTGAATAGAAACGGACTCCGGATACCACTAGACCACACAACTTGGTGGTGGTAAAAAGTTGTTTTTTGGTTTTTTGAATTTAGTAAAAAGTTGTTCAAATACAAGGTTTTTAGATATTGTTGGGCCACCTACCTGGTCCAATTTTTTTTTATGACGCTGCTACAAGAAGAACTCTAAACTGGATTGGATCAAATAGGTTTGCAAATGTCTTTTTGAAGATTAATACGGACTAATGACTTTGGGTTTACTATCTTCCTTTTGCGGCCCAACCTGCATTGGACTCATTTAGGCCCTAAAATAAAAAATAAAAATTATTTTTGGACAAAATTAACAACACAGTGGCTGTAGTTTAGTGGTAAGAATTCCACGTTGTGGCCGTGGAGACCTGGGCTCGAATCCCAGCAGCCACACTAACCAATATTTTTGGACCATGGATTTTTTTGTTGACCAATAATTGAAGGATTTATTTATTTATTTATATTTTTTTTTGTGGTGGACATTATTGATTTTCCATATTATAGAAATACAGAGAACAAATTGCTTCACTTGTATGATTGATTTTATTAAATTCATCCTTTTATCTCAATTAAGTTTAACAATTTTAAATTACAAAATCAGGAAAGCAAAATCTAAAATAAAATTGTACAATATATTATGCTCAATCGGGGGTCGTAGTTATTGGTAGCTCACTGGCATTTTTTATAATCATTGTACTGGTTATATGTCTCATGTTTTGCTTTATAATCATAAATTGAAAAAATAGTAGGGCCTTAGTAGCTAGCTCTCCTGTCATAAGGCCACCAACTTTCTTAATCTTTCGACGTAAGATAGGTCAGCCACATACATAGTCTTACGGTAAGTGTTACCTTTTGATTATTTTAAATTAATCGGCATGCTATCAAAAGTGCTTTCTTTTGACAAGATGTTTTGTTTATGATTTGAATGATTAATAGAGGGTTCTCATTCTGTTTTCAAAATTTGTAAAATAAAACAAAATTACAGCTTAAAATAATTATTAAAGAGAGCTCATGATTCATTTCCTAAACTTAACAGTCTTCCAATACTGTGCCCAAAAGAAAAGAAATAAGCCTACGTTGCGTTTAATTTTCTAGTTCTAACCAGTTTGCTTCTTTCTTTTTTCTTTTCTTTTTTTTTTTTCTTTTTTTTTTACATGTTTTATGCCAAAGTAAGAAGTAAAATGATTATTTAATCAATTTTTCTAACCTATTTATATATAATTAACTAATTTTTATAATAAATAAGATTCACATTTAAACTTATCTATTGCTAAAGCTTATGTTACGCACATGTCATCATTGAAGGGGACTGCCTCAACGTTTTCAACCACACTGGCTAGCTTTAATGGCCTTTGTTGGCACTACAATATAATGGTCTGTTTTAGTGGGATCACTCTATTATCCATCATTGAAATCAGCTTTTTTCGCTCATAATATATATATATATATATATATATTAGGAGAATTATTTATTTGCTTATGTTACATATTGGGGAATAACCTCACCCTATTATGCATTTATAAGAAAGTTTACAATATTTTAAGACTACGTACTTTCAAAATCTCTTAGTTGTTGGATCAACAATTAGGTGGCTTCCACGACCACGTTCAACGGTTTGAAATTTTAGGACACGATATCTCTGAATATTGTAGACTTTCACACAATAAAACCGCCTACTTTGATTTATTTGTCAAAATAAATTAATAAAGATCATTGATAACCAGAAATGAATGGCACTATCAATAAACTTAATTAATTCACTCTAACAAATATACTAAACTAATCCCGCCTTTAGATATTTTTCCTTAGATATTCAATGAAAAAAAAAATGATATTATCAAGGAGTAGAAGTAGTAAGGGAAAAAAAGCCCTAAAAAACAATCAATAATACACATAATTGTATTTGGATTGCTTTATGGATTAGAACTTTTTGGCGTTTGATTTTGTTCTATCCTAACCAATAATGAGAGTTTGATGTCAACCTTTATCATTTATGTTTTCATGTCCACTGAACCTTTTTTTTCTAATTCATTCAAGCAGGATCAAACAAAAAACCACATACCATCCAACAATCATATTTTAGTGGTCCACTAAGCTTGTCCATATCATACCCCATGCATATATATACACACACACACACACACACATACATACATCCAATATGTTAAACATATATCCACAATCAAATAATGTTGCTTGTCTAAAACTCCAAATATAAATTTTGTTCACATCAACAACAATCATACGGAGTAATATATTGAAAATACAATCTTAAATTTAGGTTGATACAACAATTTATTGCCACAAACTCATCATTCACCAATAGAGTTTTTAATATTAACCAATAATCATAGATCACTTACATGTAGATACAATTCTTCAACCACATATATATATATATTAACCCACTCACAAAAAATCACCCACTTTTTTTGCCAAGTCCATCCTTCACCTTAAATTAAATTTTTTTTTTTTCCTTAGTTTTATTAATAATCTAACAAAACACCACCACTAATACAAACAAGCCATAGATAATCATTAATTTAACCCAAGATTATTCAACAATGAAGGTCATGAACATGATTATGATCATGATCAGTACATGAACATATCAGCAGAAGCCATGATGGGCTGATGCACATACATCAAATTCCATGGATTCAAGAAATCACCACCATTGAATATCTGGGCATCCTCTGTTTCATAGAACTGATCATTGTTTGGTGAGTTCAAACTGTTGATGATTTCGTTGAGTGAGTCCAATCGGTGAGTCAACTCAGCCATCTGAGCTCGGAGCACCGAGTTCTCAGCCTCAATGTTCACGTGCAGCTGAGTGGTGACATTCACGTTCGTGAGAATATGATTGTTCTCATTCCTGAGTTGACCCAGTTGGGCCATCAGATCATCCAAGTGCTTCTGCTTCCTCATCCGCGATCGCCGTGCCGATTCCCGATTGGATATCATCCTCTTCCTCTTCCTTTGATCCATAGTTTGCTGCAAATCATCTTCAGAACCTGAATTGTGTAGCTGAGTTGACCCTGAAGCAGCTTTGCTAGAAGAAGCCATTTTAGTTCAAATACTCGTCGCAAAAAGTAAAAATTTGTTGCAAAAAGAAAATTTTATCGTCGCCAAAAGAGTTGTCTATTTATTTTAATGAGATTTAATGGAGAGGTTGATGAGATGTGATGTGTTCATGAAAAAACGTAGAACCAGTAGAGGAAGACAACAGAGAAGGATTGAACCAAGTGGCTTCTGCGACGAAGGGTGGAGTTTATGGTGAAACCAGAAAGGAGGACTTCACTGATTACTGGAGACATCAATATATGTCAAACATCAAGAAACAGATATTATGCATCAAATATGTGTGTGTGTATATATATATGTATGTATGTATTTATGTATGTGATAGAGGGATATATCTGTGTGTGTGTGTCCGTTGAGAGAGAAGATAGAAAGCTAGGGGAGAAGAGGAGAGTCTGACTTCAGTTTCTGAGAGCAGAGTTTCAGAACTTCACTTAAGATCTAAGAGAGAAATTCAAGAGGTAAAAAAAGGAGAGCTGAGAAAGAGGCTTGAGATAGTGTTGGTGGTGGAATTTATAGAAAAATATGGATCACTACTAAAAAAATTTAAATTGATTGAATATGAAGAATGATAAAGGAGCCAAACACTCCTTTTAATTACCTAATGCACTCCAATCTTTCAATTTTAAAGTGAAATTATATGTGTTCATAATTTTTTTTATTAAAAAAACTAGGTATTATGGTATGAGGAGTATGTTAGTGTTTTACTTTATTAAAACAATACAACAAGACGAATATATTTAGTTAAAAGTGGAGTGCAATTATCATCACTCTTTAAGAAATGATTATAATTTATTTTTATATGTAGAGAGAGTAAATAGAAATGAAAGTATGTTGTTTCATAATTAAATGAGTTTTGATTGGAATAGTCCTGTACCATAAGTCAGTATAGTTCAATCAAAACTCATGTTAAGATTTTTTTTAAGTATCTTATTATTAATTAAATTATAAAAGGTAAAGTACAAAAAACTCCATCAACTATGTTTAAATTTGCAAATAACTCTCTTGAACTATATTTTGTGCATAAAACTCCCTAAACTATCACATTTAGTTATAAAATGTCCCATTGTCTTACCTATTTTTCATTAAATGACCATAATACCCTTTCTTATTGAATTACACTTGATATATTTTTCATGTTAAAATAAATTATGAAAAAAATTCATAATAATTTGATAAAATATTCTCCATTAAATTTGCATAAGTTTGCCTTTAATTTTTTAAATAAAAATCTTAAATAGAAAATTTCGAAACAATTTAATTCATTTCTTAATTTTCATGAATATATTGCATTAAAAAGAAGATATTTTTTTATTTATATAATTTATTAATTTTTCATGAATATTGTTTGAAAAAGATATATTTTTTTATACTAATTTTTTTTAAAGTGAGTATAATAAGCTTTATTATAATAAGTTAATCATTTTAGAAAAAGGATAGCTACAATTTTTTTTTTTCATTTTTATAATCAATTGATACTAGTTATAAAATTAAGGTAAATAGTATAATTAATATTTAAATAAGAGAAAATATAATAAAAATAATTTAATAAGAAATGACAAATTTAATAACAAAGGGTAAAATAGTATTTTGTGATAAATTTATCCTTAATTGTAACAAATCAATAGTTTAGGGGGACAATTTTTAGTTCAGGGGAGTTAGTTGCAAAAAGATAATAATTCAGGGGGATTTTTTGCACTTTACCCAACTATTAAACAAGTATTTACGTACACTTGGATGATAGAGTGTTTTAAGAGACTTGACATCACTATCGTTGAAAATAATAAATTTTATAGATCTATTTTTCTTAATAACAAAACTTTAAATTAGACCAAACTACATGATTTGATTAAAGACTGTCTAATAACTTCTCTCAATTAATTTCTTACTTTCTTCAACACTTCTCTTTGAAGTTATTATTACAAAAGGATCAATTTTGTGTGTGTGTGCGCCGGGGGGGGGGGGGGGGGCGGGGGGGGGGAGAATGTGCAATTCGATTTGATTTAATAAGAAGAAGAATAATAAGAAGAAGAACCAAAGAGATGTTGTCCCTCTTGAGTTCTTTCTCATTTTTCTAGTCCAAAGATTCCTTACGAAACTTAATGAGCCATACTTGTCCTAACATTTAAATTGTATAATTGGTAGGAGATAAAGTGTCACATTTCGGTCACAATCTGAAGTATATAGCCATAGTTTCTTACTCACTTATCTATATTATTTTCATTAATCTTTTCAAAAGAACCACTGACTTTGGCACAAATTTATCTTGGGTCAGAAAAGGATTGCCCACTACGTGTTGTCCAATTGTATATGGAATCCGCCAGCTACCAGATTAAAATTTAAATATCTAAATCATGTTATTAATTAATTAATTAACCAGTTCATACCTTTTTGAGATTTGTAATGTACTTGGTATATAATATTATATTGTTCAGTAGCAAAGATTATAAAAAAGAAAAGGTTGTGCCCTCTGACTTGTCCTTCCAATATGTATTTTGACAAAAATTGATCAAAGAAGCAAGCACACGGAAAGGCTTACATCATCAATAATAGCATGAAATTTCCCCACTAGTCATGTCATTGTCATCACACCTTCTTCTTCTTCTTCTTTTCTTTCAATTTTTTTTTTTTTTTTTTTTTTTTCCTCCATTTTTTTTCAAAAAAAAATCCCCTATATTAAAGCTATATGTTGCAACTTGTTTGATACGAAAATCATGTTTTAAAAATCAAATTAAAAATAAAATTTCTAAATTATAGTCTTTCTGCATACAAAAGGAAGAATGCATACTTCTAACTTTTTTAGCCTCAGCGAAAAATGACTCTATTTAATAGATATTCTTTATTTAATTCTAGCTTTTCAAAAAAAAAATTCTCATTTATATAATTTACCTTATTCGTATTATCATCAACTTTCTCTAAATCACTTTTTTTTTTTTTTCCCTTCCTCGTGTGAATATGCAAGTGATGTAATTATTTTCTAGTTCTATTAGAAAATTGAGTAAAAGCAATCAGGACACACATAGTTTTTGTACTTGTTTTCTATTATTTTGAATTTTTAAATCAATGAACATGTAAGAAAGTTAGGTTGTCACTTTTTGAAAATAATACCCAAGTATTAGATTTTTTTTCCCTCCAATTTCCAATCCTAGCACCATGCCTTGGCTGCCTTTTAATTGATGAACTAATAAGAAATAAAAAAGAAAATAAAACACCCCAAATTTTTTTTGGAGAGGATGGTTATTTTAAGTTTAGGGTGCCGTTTGATAATTCAATTCAGTGCTTAAATTTGAATAAATTAAATGTGTATTCAATTAAGTGTATTTAATAACGTACTTTGAATGTCGCTAAAAATGGATAAACGCTACTTAAAATGGGATAAAAATTTAAGCAATAAGGATATCACTTATCACTAAATGCTAAACTGAAAATTCAAAAATATGTCAAAAAATATTTATTTTTAAATTTCCACTTAAAAACTTTCTTAAAACTTTCCGTATTTAATTTTCATTTTTATCAAACAACACCTAGACTTAAAATAACCTAATATTGTAAATTTAGTTTAGTTCAAATTTTTTTTTTTTAAAAAAAAAAGAAAAAAGTTTTGTATTAATCTAATTTACAAGCAAAAAACAGATTGTTCATGTGCATGGCAATTGCAGCCCACCACACCGGCCATATGAAGTGGAGTCAAATAAGTGGGATGAATTAGGTGTAAAAAATTATTCTTTAATTGACTAAAAAAGAGAAATGAATAATGATACATGAGCTCACATATCATGTCATTCACTCTTTATAATTGATCATTGTTTGAGAAGAGTTATTTATATTATTAGTATTAATTAAGAGAGATGATGAAAGCATGTGGCCAACTAATTATATGTGTGTGTGTGTGTATATATGCTCAAATTTTATAATTGGAGGTGTGATTGAAAAAGGTTGTGATGATGATGATAGCCAATTAAAGTCTTTGTTACCACTTGACAGCAAATTGTAATTATAATATAAATGATCTAAAGTTTAAAGAAGTTTAGATCTTAAATAAGAGCATGCTTGATCTATAACCTCTTAAAATAATAGGGTTGAAATTTTGTTCTTGAGGGAAGAAAAAAATGTTGCATTTAATTAAACAAAAAGGAAAATGAAAATTGTTGTGCTTATTTGACTAGATGCAGAGGAGTGAAGTTTAGATTATTAACATTTAGACATGTGATTTAGGAAGGGGTGGGGGAGAACATTTAGACATGTGCGGAGATTTTTTTGTTTTTTTTATTTGTTTAACTTATAATAATAGTTTTTTAGGCTGCATGTAGTTCTTTAGGTTAAGAGTTCAAGAGTTCAAGTATATGTATGTGAGAGCAAACATATTTTTTTGCATACTTTTGTTCTACTAAGGTCTCCAACACTCAACCTTTTAATTAAAAGGTAGAGATACCTTTGATCGAAACTTTGTTTGAGAACATTCTTTTGCCTCATTTTTCAAGATGTTCTTTAGTCAAATATTTTATCTATACTTTGCATACCTTAATTCTACAGTTCAAATTCAATCACGTTTTGTTGTTTAGATTTAATCACGTTCTGCTGTCCAGATTCAATCATGTCATCATTGGATTGAAATATGTGAAGCTAGCTTTGAAGAGAGATTTAGCGAGAGGGAATCGAAAAAATGAGGTGACCTAATTCGAACATAGATTTTACTTTTTTTTAGTTCGTTAGTACTCCACGGTTAGATGGCCATGGCCTCCATCTCAATCAAACACCTTAAAAGTGTAACCTATGGAAGGCTCTTGCCGAGTACTAATAATAATAAAATTATTGAAACAGTTAGGTCAAGTGATATTTTCTTTTTTTTCCAAATGAAAGGTTGAAACTTCAAGTTATTAACAAAGCAAATGAGTGTGTGAGACTTGTGTTTTTATTTTCATCCGAGACATCGAGCAATGTTTCAACAGTGATTGAAAGCATGTTTGGTAACCTAAAAATATGTTGCAAGATTTCTGGAAGCAAAAACATGAAAACATGTTTGGTAAAAAAGAGTTACAAAATTGAAAACCAAAATGATATTTAAAAAAAAAAAAAAAAATTTCGGCAACAAATGCACTACTTCTCAAATTGTAACAAAAGTTACCAAACTCGTTACGATCACTTACAAATATACCAGCAGCAAAATAAAACACGAAACAAAACTATTGTCAAATCGACTCTAAGTAATTCTAATATTATCAGTCAAAATTTCAAATATAAATTATGCGAGTAATAAATTTGACTTTAAACCCGAATATCTTAATTTAAACTATGCTTCTTTAATATCTGAACCAAATTTTATTCATTTGAAGTTCTTCGATTCAAACGGATACTTAAGTTTTTTACAGCTGTGATTCTATTACGACAATACGAGTACTTTTTAGAATGAGACATTTTCACCAAGTACCAATGTTTTAAGTTGCACATTGAAACTAAAGTTTTGAAATTAAGGTGATGTACATTTCGCTGTCAATGGA